AGTAGCATAAAAGAGCCTTGCACTATGGCATGCAGAGAGAAAAGTAATTTAATTTGCTCTGTCCTGAACCAAAGATCAAAATGGAGTGACTGGAGAAGGGGTTAGTTATGTAATGAGTTTGCCTGGGGCTTCCTATCAGTTTTCTTTTGCAAATTTAGCAATGATAGAAGTGTGTCATGTGGATTCAAAAGAGGAAGACATTCAAGGCATGGAAATCTACATGGAGACAGTTGTAATAATCCAGGTGTAAATAGAAAATTATAACCTGATATGTAAATAATAGATATATGTAGGCAATAATGTGAGAGCATGTGGTGTTTAGCCTTTTCTTGGAAGGTTAGAAAATGATTTTTGCATGAGGATATATTGATGTGAGATTTTAAGGATGGTGGCCTGAGGTATAGGTTAGGGGAAGTTTCTACATAGGACAGGATAGGAGGGAGGTGAGATCTGGTTATCTAGAGAGATGGGCTAATGCTGAGTTGAGAGAAGAGGGTGAGATGTTAATTTAATTGGTGTTGCTGGAAAAAAACATCGAAAATTAGGATAAACAAGACAAAAAAGGTAGGTAAGACTAAATCTTAATAAATATTAATTCCATCCTCAGTGTCTGGGCTGTATCTTGTAGGTGATGTGAGATATTGAAAGGGTTCAGCCAACAGAGACACAGGAAGACTACTTATAAAGACCTCGCTCTTTCAGCAGTTAAGAGGTTGGATTTGAGGTAGACAGGCTTAGAAGCAGAGGCATGAATAGGAGGCTTTTGGAATAGCCCAGGCAATAAATGAGGAAAAATAGAATCGGGACACAGTTACTAACTCAAGTGTTTGACTACATATTCACATAAAAGCTGGTGTCTTTGGGTTTTTTTAGAAGCAGAAACTGAGATCAGAATTTAAGTAATTTAGTTTGTAAAGGAGGAAAATACCAACACAGAAAATAAGAAAGTGAAACAGAGGAGGAAATTCAGCAAACAAATGACATATTTTCAAGCCAATCACCAGTGTGGGCAACTGGCACTTAATCCTGCTGATGAACTTGGTAAGACATATAGAACACTATACTCATTATATAGATGATGGGATCATTTATTTACATCCCAAACCTCAGCATCACACAATATGCTCATGTAACAAACCTGCGTGTATACCTCCAGATTCTAAAATGAATGCTGAAATTATTAAAAAAAAACATGTCTTATAAAATATGTAAACACATCCTAGCTAAGGAGAATGGAGGTAGGATATTTACAAACCAACTCTCGGTCATGAGTCAAAGAGAAGGGCGGTTAATTCCCTGGCACTGCTTGCTCTGCTATGTAGAGAGATAAGCAGATAATGACATTAGCAAGTGAAGCCAGTACACACTGAAATGGTAAGGCAGTAGAATAAAACCAGGACAACAGTATATTCTACCAAAGTCGGAAAAAAACTGGGATCACTCCCAGATTTTTGTCTTTGGGTCAATCACTAGATGGTAATTCCATCAATTGAGAGATTATAGGAAAATAATGAGTTTAGGACAAAAAAAAAAGAAATAATTCTGGACATATTGTCTTTAAGGTCACAACAGGATATTCTCTACAGGTGTCTATGAATTTCAAGCTCAAGGAAGGTTGCACAGGATATTTAAAATTGGAAGTCATCAGTATATAGGTAACGTTGAAATAATGCAGACAAATGAGATAACTCTGACACACTGTGCAGTGAGTAAAAGAGTGGGCCAAGGAGAGAGCCCTAGAGATCGTGAACATTTCAGGGGTGTTGGGAAGAGAGAACTACAATAGAGACAGTGTAAGGTGAGGAAAGTGTAGAGTCACAGACACCAAGAGACTGGAGAGTTTCAAAAAGGAGGAAGTCAGCAGTTTTAACTGCAGTTAAGAATAATATAGAGGTTTAATAATATACATCTAGTAGATATTTATTTGGCCTTTAGTGATCCTAGTAAGAATAGTTCATAGTAGAATGATAGATGTAAGATTATACTGGGTTTAGTAGTGAGCCTACTTCTCTTCTGTGGATGAGATGGAGATTAGATGGTAGCTTTAGGGAGATTTAATTTCAAGGTAGGCTTTATGGCATATTTATAAACTAGAGGAAGAAGGAAACAGTAGTGAGCAAGCAATTGAATGCAATGGGACGAGGATTGCCTCGCAGAGCAACATCCCAGAAGAGGCAGTATAAATGGTTTAGGTGAAGGGAATAGCTGACCAGAAGTATGGTAACCTCAACATATGAGACAGGCAGAAAGGAAATAAGGAGGAGTGTGGGTAAATTTAAGTTAGTAGAAGGGGGCGAGTGTGAATATATAGAAGTGTATACCCTAGTGCTCTTGAAGATTTAAGAGGGCAGATGCTTTGCTGAGACTTCATGGAGCAGAGTTCAGTATGAGGCTAGGCTAGAGAAGAATGCCTAAGGTTTGCAAGAGTTGTGGAAATTGCAGAGGAATCTGTCTGAGTTCAAATAAAATGATTGTTGAGGGCCTGCTGATTTTACAGATTAAACCTTTGTAGTAGCCAGGAATGGTGGCTCACCCCTGTAATCCCAATGCATTGGGAAGCTGAGGCAGGTGGATCACTTGAGCTCAGGAGTTTGAGACCAGCCTGGCCAACATGGCAAAACGCCGTCTCTACTAAAATTCCAAAAGTTAGCCAAGCATAATGGTGCGTGCCTGTAATCCCAACTACTTGGGAGGCTGAGACAGGAGAATTGCTTGAAACCAGGAGGTGGAGGCTGCAGTGAGTGGAGATCATGCCACTGTACTCCAGCCTGGGTGACAGAATGAGAATCTATTAAAAAAAAAAAAAAGAATCTATAGCAATGTAATTACCTGATTTTTTTCAGCAGTGCTCAGCCACTTGAGTTTAAGAACAAAAAAGATTGAATTGTAATACTTGTCTCTGCTTTATAGAGCCAGAGATCCACAAGGAAGGGGTGCAAAGGACCCTTACTTTTTCTCTTAGTGCTCTTTTAATTACCAAATTTATTATATGAGTGATCTACATTGTTTCCTTTGCTTCCTTAATACCTTCTCCTCAAATCCTAAAGTCTGTATTTTGTCTTTTATCCATCTATAACTTCTTCCTTTCAGATCAATACTAACATGTTACTCATCAAAGCCGATGTACATTTTTCCCATTCTTATAGCCTTTTAGAACTCTCTGCAACATATGCCAACATTGACTATCCCTCATTTCTGGAAAAAATCCTTACATTAGCCAAGTTAGCCTAGGTTAAATTGTGGAAGCAAACAAATCTGAAGGTTCGTTGTGGCTTAACACAATGAAAATGTTGTTTTGCATTCATGCTACATGGTCAGTATACGTTAGGAATTGAGGCACTGTGCATTTAACAAACACTGCAGAGCTTAGGTTGTTGGAGAATCCATCTGCAATCACCACAAACTTCCACAATCTCCACAATCACTACGGTAATAGGAAAGGATTTTGGCAAGTCCTATACTGTTTCTTAGAGCTTCCACCCAAATGTGACACACATTAATGCTGTTCACATTTAATTGGCCAAATTAAATCGCTTGGTCATTTCTAACTGGAAAGTTTCAGCAAAATGCAGTACTATTTGATACACAACAGGAGAGACAGGATATTCGGGAACAGTTCAAATGACTACCTTTATTTCAGCGTCTATGATAATGTAAATGTATTTTAACATTCAGGTTCTCATACAACCTTTGCCTCCTCCAACCCTAACCTCTTTTACCTACTAAGTGCCCACATATGCCAAGTTTGGTTCTCAGCCTGGTGTTCTTCAATTTATTCCCAAAGTACTCTCGCATCCCTTTAGGTGATTTCCAGATTCATGATCCTTGACCTGACTTAATGTCTTTGTCTCGTCCCATAGTACTAAATGTATCCTGAATGTTTCCACTTACATGTTTTGCTGTCATCTCAGTTGGAGAATATCCAAAACAGTATTCAAAAACTGACTTTCACTTACATTTCCTATTTTTGTTATTTCCTTCTCGGGAGACTCTGTCTCAGAGCCTCAGAAGCCCATCTAGATCCTCTTTTTCTTGAGGTCGTCAAGCACCTGTTTTTACTTCATTATTCATGGATATATACCTAGTAGGTATTCTAAAATTACCATTTGGTGATTTTATTTTTCTAATTTTTCCTTCTCTAAAGGAAACCCTTTACTCATATTATTTTGTACAGACAGTGGCATTCCAGAATGTAATTGAAAAGTTCGAGAATAGGATTCAAGAACATGTGGTTGAAATCTTAACTACATCACTTAACCAAGCGGCTTTAGATTTGGCTCATCACTTTTTGTTGTTGTTGTTGTTGTTGTTGTTGTTGTTGTTTTTTGATCTATTTCCTTATCTTTTTAGTGAGAAGACTATACTAAGGGTAACTTTATGAATTTTAGATACCTTATTATTGTCCAGCTGAAATACTTGAAGCTATTGGAATCTAATTTTAAAGAGTTTATTCAAGCACAAAGTTTGAGACTAGCCACTTCAGAAACACCAATTCCAAATAAATGGGATCAGTGTTCTAAAGCAGAGTAAAGGTCTCACTTACATGGGCAGAAACAAAGAAGTTTAGCAGAGTTGCAACATTGTCTTATACAAGGCTGGTTCATGAGTTTCAGCAAATTGATTGGTTATAGTCTGTTCCTTTTGGGGAAAGGTGTATTTAACATTGCATCCCAAATGATGTCATAGTCGTGGGAACTATTATGCCATCTGGTCTAAGTCAGATGCAGAAAAATAAATGAAGGAAGTTAATCTATAATAAAATATCAGTAACTAAAAAGAAGGGGGTCTCATCCCTGGTGCAATTCAATCTCATGTTTTACAAACCAAGAAATACCAGAAAGAAGATTAATGTATAATCAAAGAAGCAACGGTTGCCACTGCTTACTGATGACTCAGTCCCCACAATCACATTTTCTTTAAGGCACAAAATAATTTCAAGTTCCAACAGCTTTATTTTGAATTATTTATTTTTACATTAGAGAAAGAGATAATGGCTTTTTAAAAAAATTGACAATAAAGAGGTAGTGAAAATGTAGTAGTTGAATAGTCTGTTCTATATCTGTAAGAGTTTGTTGTTTCAGTTCTGAGAACATCTGAAAAAAGGAACGAGAAAGCAAGATTCTATTTAAATTATGATCAGGCTACTTATTGGGGGTTATGTGTTCAGTAAAGGTATTCCATCGTCAGAGACAGAAGTCAGAAGCAATGACTATCAGAGTCCAAGAATGATGTAGAAGACAGCTTTCTTTTAAATAGTAGCCTCTCTTCCTGGCTACTCTTGCCAGAAGAAAAGGAATTAGAGATAAGTACCCTAACAGACAGACTTTTTAAAAATAAAGAGAATTGTTATTGTAAAGAAAGAGAGAACATTACGAAAAGACTGAATACAGGAAAACTTCTACAAAGAGGGACTACAAATCCTCAAATAATTTTCACCTAGGTAAAATAGAAAATACTGTATAGATGGATTAAAAGGAAGGGGAAAGTAGAATTAATAATTACAAATGTGTGAGCATGAGGAAGTGGCCAAGGAAAGAAAACTAGCCCAAGGCTAAATAAAAATAAGGGGGATAGTTATGGGACTGTGAATTACAGATAGAACTTAAAGTGAGGCAGGGTGGGACTGAGAATATGGGAAGGAGAAGAGAGAAAGGCAGTGGATTTATGAGTTACTCACTCGCTATGAACAGAGCAAGTTCCTGTCTTTAGGTGAGCCATGATGGATAACTAGTGGGAAACTGGCATTGCTTATATGTTAGTTCTCCTTAAATCTATCATGATGAGTTCTTCTTTCTGTTGGAATCATTTCAAAAGCCCCATGGCCTCTGCAGGAAGAAAAAAGAGAAAGAGGCATTATACAGTAGGAGTGAGAATTAGGGATGGAGAACAGCTTGGGGGAGGGGTGCTGTAAATAGAGTCTCATTACCACAGTCTAGCTTGGTGCCTGATTAATTATGGAGCACTTGATAATGTCCTGGAGTCATGGAAATCAGGAGGAAAAGTACAGATAATTGAATGGAATTGAAGAACTGGCAGTGTTGAGAGCATCATTAACATATTTTTGCTGTTGTTGTTCTTGGCATCTGCCCTTGTCACAATTGACTCTGGGCTTCAACAGCTGCACGTTTTGGTGGAAGTGAGGAAGGAGAGATGGGAAGAAGAAGGGCAAGTGGAAGCTGCCATCTTTCATAGAAACCCAGAGGTCTACTGGTGTTTGTAGCCAGTCCCATTCTATTGACTAGGACTCGCCTTTATCTCTTTGTATTATGAAGAATTAACTTTTGCTTAAAGCACGTCAGGGCCAGTTTTCTATAGAATTCAGCCTAAGTACGTGATAGTGGTTTACAAGATAAGTCACTAGGACTTGTGTTTAGAAAGCTAATACAAATTACAAATCTCCTCTGAAGCAATACCTATTGGGATAGCTTTGCCTGCCATGCTGAATCAGACAAGTCAAGTTCTATTTTCGACAATGAAATAAAACATTATCAGTGTGCAAGGTCTGAGTAGATATCCATTTGCATGGCGCTGTGCATGTGAATTTTTTAGTTGTCAAACTTTTTATTCTCCCTGTAGATGTCTGAGGTTGCTTGTTGATTAAAATATCAGTGATAAAATTTAGAGGAAAAATTTACAATGTAAGTATTTTCAGATTAGTCTAGAGCAAATTTGACAAAACAAACTGAGAAGTTTGTACTCATTTCTTGTCTCTTCCTGGATGAGGAGAGTGGTGTACACCTAGGGACTACGGCACAGCTGTGCATAGAGACTGAGCTGCCTTCTGAGACCCAGTATATGTTTCAGGTCAGTGGAATATTGCTGGTCATGCTCAGTTCTGCCTGTGGCCTGCAGCAGGGTGGCGTGGAGCTGGGAGACTGCACAGAGAATGCCAAGGTCTGAGGAGCAGCAGCTGCCTTTGCTGGCATTTTAGTACAGATAATAAAATAGCTTGGAGAGTATCACATGAGATAGAATTGTTCTATAGAAAATACTGCCACTTGGGATACTGCCAAGCTTTATCTATCCCAAGTGTTTTTCTACTCCTTAATTTTTTTTCTCTTCTTTCTTTTTCATTTTTGTTAAAGAAATAGAACCAGTCCAGATTGAATAAAAATTGACCTAAATGCTCATTAGAACACAAGCTTACTAGTCCCTCTTAAGATTTATTCTATTTGCACAAAAATCACAATAAAACCTTCCTTATACAATAGCCCTGGTGCATGGATAAACTAAGGGGCTGGACTATAAAGAGAGCTCCCAGGCAAATGGATGAAGAAGCACATGAGCTCCATTAGTAGCAGTTTCTCTGCATTTTTTTTTTCTTGAAAATATTTACCGAATGTCTGCTTTGCCTCAGCCAGGAACTCTTCTTTTGTTTGTATTTGTTTTCCCATCTTAGTAGAAATTCTACTTACAGGTGGTGGTTGTTGTTGTTGTTATTAATTATTATTGAGACAGAGTCTTGTTCTTTTGCTCAGGCTGGAGTGCAGTGGCGCTATCTTGGCTCACTGTAACCTCCACCTCCGGGGTTCAAGTGATTCTCCTGCATCAGCCTCCTGAGTAGCTGGGATCACAGGTATGCACCACCACACCTGGCTAATTTTTTGTTTATTTTTAGTAGATGTGGTTTCCCATGTTGGTCAGGCTGGCATGGAACTCCTGACCTCGTGATCCGCCTTTCTTGTACTCCCAAAGGGCTGGGATTATAGGCGTGATCCACCATACCCAGCCCACAGGTTATTTTTCAAAAGCACTCAAATATTTCTCTTGGTGTTGAATAGTAAGGCTTCAGGAGGTTTTCCCAGGTGAATCACACATTTCTTTCATAGTGGTAACTGGTACGACCAACCAGAAGACCTAGAATAGTTTGTATACAAAAACTCGTAGGTCAACTCATATCAAACATCTATTCTCAACTGGGCAACATGCTGTGTTCCAAGAACTACTGAGCTGGATCCTGACAAGATGAGTGTGCAAAATTTCACAAATACCTGATAACCTAAAATATTGTAGACTAACCTTATTATTCAAGCAAAAAAATTTAGGCAGAAGTTTTGTGATTCACCCTATATTCTTCGGTTTTGTTTTTGTATCTAGGTCTAAAAATCAGGCTTAGACAGCAGTAGTGGCTACTTCAATTTTCTTTTTGTTCTTGTTTCTGTATTTATTCAGTTCTGGCATTTCACAGCTTATCAAGAGACATAGTTTAACAAGAGTCTCTGAGATGAAACTTGTAAATTAGTCAAATTCATTCTTGTTGAGCATCATGCTTGCTTCACTGATTTGTTCTAGAGTGCCAATGGGAATTTCTAGGACAATGCAACTTCATCTCACAACCACCTTGAGCCACTAGGAAAAATAGTTGCATACAATCTGTATATGAAGGCCTGAGCAGAAAAGTTATTCTCTTATTGATTCAATATTCACAAATTACTTATGGCACCTAATCTAATAAATTGCAATTTCAATAGATTACATGTTAAATTGATGAGAATTGGGAGGAAAAGAAGTTGTTTTATTGTTTTTCCAAATTTTATTAGGAATTTTGAAGAAAAGCATGATTTCAACTTAGACAATGGCTTTTTGAGAATATTTATTTTTTCCTTTAATAGCCTGCTTCTTTGTTGAAATTATTGCATACCTAAAGAAATTCTCAGGCAGAAAAACAAATCACCAGTGATTTGTCAAATCATTAGCAATAAACCTGCTTCTCGGTATGTACTTCTTTATAACTCAGGCTGATCTTAAGTTATAGATCAGCATGATTTCATATAACTTAATATGGGAAAGACTACAGCTAGACACTGCTGTGATAAAAATGTAACAGATACTGAGAGAAGTCAGATAAGTTCTGCTCAGTTTCTATATCTTGAACATCAGAGTATTATCTTCATTTATAAATGATATTCCATTGCACATATTAGTTTAACTTATGGTTATATGTGCATTGAACCTCTCTTTGACTAACAAATTCATTTGCTAAAATTTTTCTTTTAACTCCCGTTTTATCCTCTTTTATTTGCAGGAATAAAATCATTTAATACTTTAGGAGATTTGATAAGCACACTTTGTAATTTGAATGTAAGTGAAATTGCTGTTAGGATTGACACCTCTGAGCCAAAACTCATGGCTATGTTTTATTAAAGTAAACATCTAGAAGATAAGAGGAGTACACAATTAGACATTCGGATATTTTGTCAACAAGCTGTTAAGTGTCCAAATGTCTTATAAACATCTGATGCTTGATGATTTTCTTTATTCCCATGGCTGTTTGGTATTTCATAGGTTCAAAGACATCCTGTCAATTTGGAGACCCTGATAATATGACAGTGGATTTCAAATTGCACAGCAGAATTCATAGCAGGAAATGTATTTCATATTGTAACCCACTGTATTTGTGCATATTCACACCTACATCCACATCCCTCCCAATACAAATAAATAACTGAAACAACAATTTTACAGAATAATACATGGCCTTTCTATGTGGGATTTCTATTATACTCTATTCTCTTTTATTCTTTTCATTATATTGTATTCTACTTCATTTCATTCCGTTATTTGAAAACTGAATAACTCTCTGTATTAATTCCATCACAAGTTGCAACTCCTACTTGGAAAGCTTTTTATTAGCTTGTACCTCAACTTTGGGTTTCACCCTTATAGGCTAGTATGGATATGACTTAATGGTATATAACCTTCCATTGAAGCTCAGAAAAACAAGCTTTGATCTTGACAAGTACACTATGTGTGTTCACAATGTACATCCTAACATAATGTAAGGTTCTTTTTAACCCCTATTGCCTGCCCCCAAAGGAAAGAGAAGAAAGAGGAGTTAGGGGACAGGGTCTCCCAACTTTCGTTGCTTTTCATCAATTTGAATTACCAACCTTAGTTAGGATTCTTCGAGAGAAAATCAGCTGTCAGTAGCACGAGGCAAGATGTCATTGGCTTAGTAGCTGTCACCTCCTTATAGCCATCATCTCCCTGTGTCATCCGTTACTTTATCAGGGTGGAGAAAACTCAGTATGACACATTTGGCTCTGCAGGTAGGGGATGATTTATTGCCTTGGTGTGGACTCATTATTTGCGTTCCCTTAAAATTAATATGTAGAAATACTACCCCCGAAACTGATAGTATTTGGAAGTGGGACCTTGGGATGTGATTAGGCATTAGGGCAGAGTCCTCATGAATAAAATTGATATTCTTATAAATGAGGCATGTGGGAGCTCCCTTGTTACTTCCATCATGAGAGGTTAACAGGGAGAGATGGCCCTTTCTCAATGAGAAAGTAGGCCTTCACCAGACACTGAGTCTGTGGCACCTTGTTGTTGAACTTCCCTATGTCTAGAACTGTAAGAAATAACTTTCTGTTGTTTCTAAGCCACCCAATTTATGGTATTTTGTTATAGCAGCCTGAATGGACCAAGACTGTCCCATTGTCTAATGGCTTTTTAATCTTGTCTATATGAACACTTGCCATCTGCAAATCATCTGCTAGCAGTAAGCGTATCACTTGCTTCATGTCTTGGTGAACTAAAGGTGAAAATGTCGAAGGACATCTTATTTCTCTGGCAGCCTCCTGTCCAAAGTGTTTAGACTTCTCATTCGGCTCTGACCATTAAACTGACCACATTACTTTTATAGACTGAAAACAAATCTCTCTAGGGTCCTCATTACCTTCGGAGGTCACAAACAGTGAGATCTTTAAACAAGGTTACTCTTACCAGTCCTAGAGAAAAAATAAAATCTCTTCTGCCTTTAATGATTTCTATGGAAGAATAAACCTCAGGCCATCATAATATACAGCAGTATTTTTTCTGAAAGATTTTATTTGCTTCTTTCTTAAATCATTCTTACTTAAATTTAAAAATATTTTCTTATTTTCTTTCTATGGTAATGGAAAATAACAGTTTCTCACATTTGCAAATACAAAAACAATTTGAAACCCTACATATTTATGCATTTAATTGCAGGATGAATAATAACAACCTCTTAAGTTATTCCTTGAATATTTTCAACAAGTATTGCCTTTATAGTTGCATGTCTTTTAAATTATTTTAATTTCCTCTTTAATATTATAGAGGCCAGAAGTCTAGCCAGTATGGTAGCCAGTCTATGGCATGACTGTGAGTGTCAAAGTTCCTCACCTTCCGATCACACATCCCAGCTTTTAAAAATAGCCCTGACTTAAATTGTGTAGCTACAAGGTACATACTTCTTCAATAGATACTTTTGACTGCATTGCTATTTGGTTAATAAATGTTGGCTTTGTCTGTTTTTTTCCTTCCTTTTTTCTTTAGTTTGCTTTTCCTTTGTAACCACAGCATTGCTCATGTTTATTCCTAGAAATTTTCATTTGTGTGTAACTACTACTCCAATTTCTCAGGATAACTTTGAATTCTAATCTGATTGTTTTATTACTACTAAAGTTTATATAATCTGAAATATTAGTAATCATCTGTATTCCATTTTTCAGATAATCAGTGAAATAGTCTTATTTCCAAGGCTAATATCCCGAGCACCAGTTGTTAAGTGTTTTCAAGATCTTAATATCAATTGATGGATTTTTAGCATATATCTACAGCCAGCTGTGACTATATCATGCAGGAAGCTAGTAGTTCTATGATCTTGATACTCTTCAGTATATGGAATTCCCGTGGCAGTGTCACACTTACCAAAATTCATTGAAATATGTTAAGAATTACAAAAAGTTATGCCCATATGGAAAATGCATTGGCTGCCATTTGGGTTTCAGCTGATATACTGGAGACAAAACTGAATTTAGGTTGTTTCTTGTTCCTTTTATAGAGTATCACATTTGGTCATATTTAGCTCATTTAAATGTTATTGTGAAGTTATCTAACACACTGCAGGTACTAGCTGTACATACTAACTGAACTCTTGGATGGAAGTGTGGTTAGGTGGAATATTTGATTGTGTTCCATAGTTACACTGGAGACCAGGTGATGGCGACATCTGGTAATGAAAAAATACAGAGAATAAAATATTCTCCTAGTTTGAAAATGTTATTTTAGTCTTTCACCTGCTTTCAGGATAAAAAGTACAAAATGAAAATGAAAAGATACAAAGGAAATCAAACACAGCCTTCTGCTATATAATGTTATTATAGATAGTTAATGGTCCCTGGACTGGGGTGAACAGTGGGGAGAGAATCATTAGGAGAAAGCAGTACTTTGTGGGTCCTAAGTATTGAAGGAGTAATAATTTAGAAATGGCACAAAGTAGATAATCTCCACATGTATGATGGAGAAGTTCATTAATTAGCTCTCAATAATTTCTCCAAATTTCTCTAAAAGAATCTTGGCTGTTTATAGTTTTTATTTATGTATATTATATATACACTGCAACATATATCTTGTACATAGTTCTTTTTCTTCTCTAGGAATGACTTATTTCCAATTATGTTATGGGCAGGAATGCATAAACTTGCTGATAAGGGAGATATAATGTAAGGATTCATATAAGGGGAACCCAGTGGAGCAATATTTAGAGCTTTGTTCATTTTGTTAGTCCGGTTTATTCTGTAACTCACTAGGTGTTTATTAATTTCATATTTTGTACCCCTGGACATGGACGGGAAAAAAAGGAAACATTGAATACAGAGTATGCCTTCCAGAAGTATACTGATTACATAGGAATACAAGTCATATTTTTATGAAACAGTCCATAGTAATAAGAGCTGGTGTGTATTTATGCCAAAATTAGCAATAAAGAAAGGGATAAGAGCTTCTGTGGTCTTCAGAATCACCCACCTAAAACTGTGAGCTTCCCCTGGGCCAGATTCTAAGACAGTTCTCTTTTTAGGGAAGAAAATTTGTGAAGCTTCAGTCCATTCATCCATTCATCCAGATGACTCTGAATCATGTTGGTCTGGCTACAGGTCCTGCTGTATCCTGTGCCCAAGTTCTAAGGCTTGGGTCCGTGTGCTTCATCTGGGATAAAGCCATAGTCATATACTATCCCAGACACTGAGTCTGTGGCACCTTGTTGTTGAACTTCCCTATGTCTAGAACTGTAAGAAATAACTTTCTGTTGTTTCTAAGCCACCCAATTTATGGTATTTTGTTATAGCAGCCTGAATGGACCAAGACTGTCCCATTGTCTAATGGCTTTTTAATCTTGTCTATATGAACACTTGCCATCTGCAAATCATCTGCTAGCAGTAAGCGTATCACTTGCTTCATGTCTTGGTGAACTAAAGGTGAAAATGTCGAAGGACATCTTATTTCTCTGGCAGCCTCCTGTCCAAAGTGTTTAGACTTCTCATTCGGCTCTGACCATTAAACTGACCACATTACTTTTATAGACTGAAAAATATAGAGTATTATTATTATATAGAGTATTCATTATTATTATTATTATTATTCAGTATTATTATTATATAGAGTATTCATTTTTCTATATTTAGCAAAAATGGGTAGAATGGTTTAAACAATAGAGTGAGTAATTGGTGGTGCCAATTATTTAATCTTGTTCTGTATTTTGCACCTTTGATATTCAAATAAGTGATGTATAATGTAATTGCCAAAGTAAAGAATGAATTATATTTTAGGTAAGCATGTTTTTGCAGAATTTGTGAACAACATGTAGGTTAGAGATTCTAACCTAAACCCCCTTAGGAGGATAAGCCAGGGTAGTAGATTAGAAGATGAACATGTTGGAAGGCCCAGAGCCTCCATTTATGATACTTTTATTTCTGAAATGTTTAATCATGTTTACTATTAAGTCAACTCAGGCAGAATTGTGCCAATGGACTGAATAAACAATGAGGATTAAGCAACTAGAGGACAAGAGGATGAAAAGAACATTCTATGAGGGGAAAGCAAGACAGATCAAAGGATGGGACTGGTACTGGAGGGCAGATACTGTGCTGTGTTTTTCATTGTGTTCAGTGCCTAACACAGTAACTTGAATATAGCAGGCACATAACAAAATCTGCTTAGTGACAATGTGAGAGAGAATATCAGATTTGGGATTTTTGCAGTGGGATAATTTTAAATGATAAAAGTAAAGAGCTGGTGCTACTAGTGGATGCCATGACTGAGGAGACAGGACACCAGAGCGTCTCTTGGACATTGAACCATTGCAAAGTCAGAGTGTTGCCTTTGGGAGTTGAGTTCATCACCAATAAAGGAGAATGGAAACCTTAAATATAGCAATGCAGAAAGTAAGTTTAAAGCCCACTGAAGACCAAGGAATAAAAAGATCACTCATCCTCACCCCTAGGTGGAGTGGTGGGATAGAGGGGAGGTGCACGTAACAAACTTAGAAAAGACTGGATGTTGCATGGTAATTTTGGTAAAAGATATTTAGCAAGATAAACAAATGGTCCTAATAAAAATATGAGAATTTGTTTGGAAGAAAGTAGATGTTCCACATAAAATAGGAACACATTGAGCCAGTCTTGGAGGAAGGAGCCTGGGAGGAATGAAAATGATCTGAATAAGATTAGTTGAAAATCCAGGAAATATAAAGAAAACCTGAAAGTAATAATAGAAATTAGGGAAGATACTGCAAGGGAAAATGGGAAATATACAGATATGTATTTTGCTACAATTACTAAGTATCCAAGTGGAAATATCCAGTGAGTAGATGAACATAAATGAATGCAGTTATTTCAAATATTTTATAATATATATCATTTTGAATACTTTCTTTTCTATTTTAAATGTTTTGCAAAAGAAATGGGCACTGTGACAAAGCAAACAATGAGTCAATATTGGAGACAAATTTAAGATTAAGATATTAGAGATAGAATTTTGTGAGCGATTATTATGTGTCAGGCAGGGATTGAAGAGGTTTAAAGGCAATTCATGTAATCCTCACAAAGGTATTGTTGTTAGGCATGTACCAGTATTGTCTCTAATCCATGGGATGCAATAAAGGTAAATAAATCAGCCTACATTTGCCCAGAAATGTAGTTATGGAGCTAGAATTGGAACCTAACCAAAGTTTCTAACCACTATGCTATTTTGCTTCACTATATTAATTTTTTTTTTAATATTAAACCTCTTCAACAACTATCGAACGTTCCCTTTGACTGTGGCATCTTCTTCTTGGCAGAGAGTATTCATTTTTCTATATTTAGCAAAAATGGGTAGAATGGTTTAAACAATAGATTGAGTAAACACTGACAGAATAATGTGAAACCAACGTGCCAGTATTACGAAGAGATGACGGATGACACGTCATTATTCAATGGCACAATAAAACGTGATGGATTTCCTAACCACCCAATCTTTCACTGACAGGCTAGTCCCTTTCTTTCTGATGTAGCTTGATTGTAATGGCCTGCAGAATATTGAATAGTCTTGATGTTAGAAGCTACTATGATATACTGTCCATCACTCAGGTGAGATGAACTAGGTTGCAGATAATCCCTAAACTTTTCCTAAAATTATCTTGTTTGTCTATGCTATCCTAAGTGGACCCAATATCTAGTAGTCTAATTGATTACAAGACCCAGGAAATGAGAGGTGTATCCAATAAGATTGGAAGATTTGAAATCCCTAGATTGTAAGCTACTTGGAGAGCTACCGGGAACCGTGATCAGATCATTTCTTCTAGTGCCATGCCTAAAAAACAGATTCTCTATTAGTGTTTATTGAATTGAATTAAATATAATTAACAGATAAGCAATACAATACTTTATACGATATGTGTAAAATTATAGACTTACTAGCATAAATTTAAAATGTTGATTTAGATCCATATTTATTGACTTGGAGTTATGTTCGCAGTGTATTGTTGGATTTAAAAAAAGGAACATTCCAAAATATAACATATACTAAGATTAGTTTATGTTACCTAGCTAGAATACTGTATGTATAATTCCCTGTAACTGAACAATCTCGAGGCCATATAGTATAGTGGTTCAGCATGTGGGCTTTGGAATCAGACTCCGAGGATTTAAAATCATGATACCCTTCATGATTTTACTTCAGCTGAGTAACTTGGAGTAAATTACTGAGTAATTCTGTGCCTCAGTTTTCTGACTGTAAAATTGGGTAAAAATAGAACTCACATCATAGAGTTATAATAAACATTGAAAGAGATCATATGTATAAAAGTATTTACTCTAATGTCTGATTTGGAGTAAGCATGCAAATAATTTATTATTATTATATCTTATTATTATGGAAGGAATATGGAAGAAGACTTACCAAAATGTCGTATTGTCTTTTCTTCCTCTTTTATTACTTTAAGAACATTATTTTATAATTAGATAACAATAAAGCATTTTATCAAATTTTGAGGAAGACAATACATTTTGTTAGAAGGAAATTTAGATGGCATTTATCCCATTTTCCAAGTGCAGGGATCCCCCCGCCTCCCAGTGTAAGTTTCCTAACATATTGACATTCAGCCTCTACAGAAGTTCCTTGTGCTACCTCTTAACTAGACTGTAAGTTTTCTGTGGACAGATCCTATATCTCTATCCTATATACATATCCTATATTCTATCCAGTCTTTTTTGAATGCCTCATGGAGTAATCACTGCATAAGTTATATTTTAATGAGGTATAAGCCTCCCATCATTTCCTTCCCAAGGTATAGCTGCCCTACCGTGGAATATGCTCAGGTTCTTAATACAGTTCTCATTCTCCCTTCACATCTGAGAGAATTCTAGTAACATGGCTTCCCAGGGCCTGAAGGGTAAAACACCCATCCCTACTCATTCTCCTGAGTCTTTTTCATAAGAAGAGATTATATGAGATTTTAACTTTTCTTGGCATCATTAGCCTTAGCATCTGTCTTGTCTCTCAAACAGCAACTGAGTCCTTAAAAATCAGATTAAGAAGATTGCAGCAGAAATACAACACTAAGCATTGTCCATGAGGGAATATCTATAAGGGTTCTCAACTCTCTACCCCTCACGGGTTGCCCTACAAAAGTATTTAATTCAGTCGTTCTCAGAATCAACTTGGAATCTTAGGGAGTGGGGAGGAAAAGAA